GAAAAATTTTGGCAGGGTGAAAAAGGATACTTTGTTTCCTTGAGTTGTTACGTAGTAACTAGTGGTCACAATTCCAAGACTGTCAGCAAGAAACCTAGGAGTGAGATGAGGAACCTCTTTACTCAGAGATATGTTAGGATTTGGAATCCAATGCCTGAGAGAGTGGTGGAGGCAGATTCTGTATGAGGCTTCAAAATAGAGTTGGATATATATATTTGAAAGTGATGAATTTAGTGGGCTATGGAGATAGGGTTGGAGAATGGAACTAGCTGGGTAGCTCTTTTGGGAGCCGGTAGAGATACAATGGATCAAATAGCCTCGTTCTGTACTGTAAAATACTATGGTTCTATACCTCCTAACATAATTTCCACTGGTATATATTCCAATCATATTTGATACATATCTAAAATTATGTATCAATATATGTAAATATGCAACAGGTTTCTAAACAATAAATAGAGTGAAATATATTACATAACTGAAGTTAACTAGTTAACACAAGAACAAATTGTACTCTCATTATTTGGTTCAGCCTCAACTGCGAGTTCTCTAAATTAGAACATTTTAAACATACCTTTATTGTAAACTGATGAGTTCTCTTTCCTGCTTAAGCCAAGGTACAGTTTAGTTTTACAGCAACTTTCCAAATCCCCTTCTATATTTATCATTTCTTTCACCTTGCCACGATAGAACTTCTTTCTTTGAAAAGCAGATGTTTTCCTGCGAACAATTGACACAAAAATCAGGTCATTTTAAATAAGTGAAAACATATCCAACAGAATCAACTTTCAAAATAAGGGGAAAATAGACTAAACAAAAAGAAAATTCTAGTTCATTTAAAAAAAAGAAGCAATCCAGTAGTACATATTGAAACATTTCACAACACTATGTACCAAAAAATACAGATAGCTCAACAATACTTTAATGATTTTAAAAGTTAAAAAAAAGTGAAAGGTTTTCTGGTGAATGGATATCATTCATCACACAGTGCCATTTCATCTGTCAGTTTAATGACCCATTATTGGTAAACTCTGTTTGACTGAAGCCATCAACAGCATTGAAAATGTGGTTGATGAAGTCGACCTGTTACATTATGTCACATGGTACTGGAAAACAGAAAATGGCATAAAGCAAAATAACTGAACTCTGCAGAAAAGCTTGTTCTTATGAAAGAATTTTACAAGGATATTAGCAAGCTGGAGAGGGTTCAGAAGAGACTTACCAGGATGTTGCCGGGTATGGAAGTTTTGAGTTATAAAGAAAGGCTGGATAGGCTGAGACTTTTTTCACAGCAGTGTAGGAGGTTGAGAGGCAAGCAGACAGAAGTTTATAAAATAATGAGAGGTAAGGAGGTATACATAGAGTTAATGGTAATTGTCTTTTCACTAGGATGGGGGAGTTGAAGACTAGGGGATACATTTTTAAGGTGAGAGGAGAGAGATTTAAAGAAGACACAAGAGAGGCAAATCTTTTGCACAGAGCGTGGTTCACGTGTGGAATGAACTGCCTGAGGAAGTGATGGATGCGGGTACAATTACAACATTTAAAAGATTTATTTGGGTAAGTACATGAATTGGAAAGGTTTGGAGAGATATGGGCCAGGAGCAGGCAGATGGGACTAGTTTAGTTTGGAATTATGTAAAGCATGGACTGGTTGGACAAAAGGGTCAGTTTCCATGCTGTATGACTCTATGACTCTATAACAGATCTAAGCAGGCTGCGATATAGACAGACAATCAGCTAGAGAGAAAAAGGCAGCTGCTAGCCAATCTCAGAGTGAGAGAAGAACAGACTGGCTGCAGAGTTTGCCTAGATTCAGGAATAGCATTTCTGCGCTTTTCCAAAAACAAACCCTGGAACTGTTCTCCAATAATAGCAAATAGTCCCTCACTGCCTGGTACAAATAGGTACAAGGTATGTTGGGATTTATCTGTCCTTTTGCAGCTCAAAATTACAATCAGGGTCCTATGGCTGGGTTTTACAGTCACATATCAGGCGGGCCAACTCCTCCTGTCACTGTACTTACATAAACATATGCCGTGCTAACACTGGATCTGCAGTCTCTGACAATACAGAAAGGAAATTGAAGCTCAACCAGGCTTTTGTGAAAAATAATGACCAAGCTAGTTCAAGCCAACCAATTGCTATTTTTTGTTTCCCACTCCATTCTTCACTAGTTACACAGGGTAAGTCATGGGAGTGAATTCGAGACATCTGAATTGGCACAAAGGCAGATGAAAATACATGCAATTGGAACCATGGCTGCATATAGCAGAAGAGTTTGCTGCTGAAAGTGACAGCAATTAACAGACTGCAGACTTCCTCCATACAGCTTTTGTAGGCTGACACAACAGCAAGCGAGAATGAGACGGAAGGGGGGCATTAAATTAATGATCAGTACTAACTTCTGGTTCATCCCACCAAGACATCCAATAAGACACAGCATCTCCCTACAAATTCCTCCTATGAGGTTAATTAGCTGGCCAATGCTTGATTCAACGTGCTGAAAGGGCAGGCATGGCAATGAATGGACTATGCACATCCCATTTCTCATTGCATTACCTTGCTGGAACTGCGCAACCTAGCCACTAGAATCTGCATATTTTAAACAGCTGTATGCATAAACCAAGGCCATTTTTAAAAAGTCACCTGAAATTGCATAAGACAGGCCTTCTGCATCAATAGCAAAGCGAAGAACTCCTGGAATTTCATTTTAGACAGAAAAACCCCTATCTTGTTTGTGCAAGCTCTCTGATAACTCGGAGGCCATGAATATATTCGGCCATAGCCTAGGAATTTGCAGCTGCCCTGTTTGTGTATAGTAAATTACAGGGGTACCAATTAAACTGGAATCCTTGCTTGCTAATTTCTCAACCCAATAAATTCAAGCTAGATCTTCTCTTGTTTTTCAAACTTTCTTATTATTCAGTCCCACCTCCTCATGCTTGACTCTTCATCATCCTTTTCTATTTCCATATCGAGCCTGGTTTTGTTGAAGTGATTATTTCTCAACCCTTCTCCTTTTCCCACATCACATACTTGTCCTACTTCATTTACTTCAACCAAAATCTAGCAACAGTTCTCTTTAACCAAAAGATTTGGAACATGTCCTGAGTATGATGTAGAAATTGCTATCTCACATTGACTACATGCATTATCTTTATTCCCATTTAATTCAGGATAATTTAAATTATTTAATATTACCTTGTTATTCTTTCATATTTCTCTGAATTGTTTGCAAATTCAGCCCTAAAACCATTGCATCCCATTCCCCACAACCAAGCTTTACTGCAGTATTCAATATTCTGTATTTTAAAATTAGACATATTATTTCCCTCCTTCAATTATATCCATAAGGATTTTCTCCACAAGCCCAGTACATCGTTATATTCTAGTACTAAGATAGAATACTTTACTAATGTTGCCACTCCACCACCTTTCTCCTTTGTAGACAATGTGATGGCCAAGAATAATAAGTTCACAATTGTGTCTAATCATAAATCACACTTCCGTTACAGTTACTACATCATATTCCTCCATTGCTATTAAAAACTTCTAGCTCTCTAATGATGTTTGGATTCTTTGTCCAGTCACCTACAACCCTTAACTCTGATTAATTTTGAATGGTTCTACTTTTTTCCAGTAACATTAACATAAAACACGATACCTGCAAACAGTAACATCTATGCATCTTGGGAAGGCAATGGTGTAGTGGTAATATCACTGGACTAGTAATCCAGAACCCCAGGCTAATGTTCTGGGAGCCTGGGTTTCAATCACTGTAGGCACAGAACTGGCATACATGTGACACCAGATCCAAACAACATGGTTGCCTCTGGGCCACTATGGACAGGCAATAAATGCTGATCTACCCAGTAAAGCTTATATACAACGAATGCTTAAAAAGTATCCAAAATGGTTGATGTAATTACTTTCCAGAATAGATGAGCAGTACAAAAAAGTCACTTATGCACAGCACTTAATTTTCCTGTAAAATAACTTTGCATTTCAAAAGTGATTACATTTTATTCCTGTTACTGAACAATAAATATAATTGAATTCAATGCAACTACAAGAAAAATGATAAAAAAATGTTTCACTATCAGCAAACACAGACAGAAACCAGCATACCTTATATGAAGCACACATTCACTGTACAGAGATATGTACTGACTTCTGATGAAGGCACCTAAACTCTTGGCATCAGATAGCGTTAACTTAGACTGGGGCTCCACTTTTTGCTCCAAATTAGTGGTTTGTATGTCATCTAACCACTTGAAAAACTTACACTGGTTAGCTTTTGAGGCATCACAAGTATAGAATAAACGACCCTACAAGAAAAAAAGAAATGCAAATTGCAGAATAACATTGGAAAAAAGAAAATATCTGAACAGTTGCTTTTCTGCCTGAATTACAGCAATGCTACATATTTCTGTTTGTAATATTAAAGTGGATTATGATTGCCAGAGATCCTATGTAAATCTTTTACACTATTTTTCTAAATAAATTACATTAAAATACAATACTTAGTGCTTATTGTATCAACTTTAATCATTTTGTGTAATCTTTCCACCATTTTAAAAGAAAAAAAATGTTGAAAACAGCACGTTTAAATGATAACAACAACACCCTGCCAATATCTCAGGGAGAGAGTGCAACACTGAGATAGTGATATAACTACATAAAGATCAGGAACACCTAAAGTTTAAATACATTGTGCTGAGTTAGTTGATCTCAGCCAAGGGACAGATTTATTGTAACTGGACTCAACATTCACAGACTATGGACAAGAGATGAAGCAACAGCTCAGTTAGAATCCTTAGGCCTGGTTACTATAAATGATCTTAGCTATAAGATGATTTGATTTAGCCCAACTATGATGTTTCCCACAGTCAAATAAATCTAGGTTGAGATATGAAGAATGGTAACTCAGGTGACGTACTAGAGAATTACATGACATTAGCAGACCTCTGGTACCTCACCTGTGTGTACATTATTTATTTGTGACCTTGACAATAAGTCTTAAGTCTGGAAAAGGGAGGTACAAGGAATCACATGGATGAAGATGGAGGATAGGTTGACACACAATACAGGTGAAATTACATTTGTCCACTGCTGTAGACCATGCCTGATTTGGAGTTCTTTTAAAGGTAAGGGAGCAGAATATCAGAAAAGCATGCAACAGATGGCAATGGCTTTAAAGACTGTTTTGCATCCACACATACGTACAAGTCACATAACCCCTCCCATCTTCAACACATATATACACTTAATGCTCTCCATCTAGGTAAAGATCAAGTGTGAGAACTCTGGTTAATTTCTCACTTGTCAAGCAGGAGTTTGGAGTTTTATTTTAATTTTACCAAACATATTTATACCAAAAAAACTATAAGCATGCTAAAAATATTACCTTATTTGGACCTTCCTTTTTAACCATGACAAGCTTTGCAGGCTGATGATGTTGGCAAAGTGGGACAAAACTTTGCTCTTTACCAGCAGTTCCTCCTTTTGCTGAAGAGTAGTTGGATATGTCAACTTTTGACAACGCTTTGTGAAGTTTCTGAGATAGGTCAAAGAGCCAAATATTGAGGTGCTCTGAAAACAGGGCAAGCAGGTTACATTGTACTGATTTCACACTGAAGAGTTTCTGTGTTAAATGTGTAGTTTTGAAAATAACAGAAGCAGCACAAGTCATACATCTGACACAATAGTAGGTGACCATATTTAGTTTTTTTTATTATCCAAAGTCAAAATTCTTCACATTAATTCCACAAAATAATATAAATAAATGAAAAGTAAAGATACCACAGTTCTACCAGACCTCATCAGAGAGAGAGAGAGAGAGACACGACTGCTGATAATTTAATCTGAGGATCACAATGCATCAGGTGAGGAGAGAGGTTGAGAAGGAGAATCCTTCATAGTAACCTCAGCCAGTCTGGGAGTTGAATCCACACTGTTTGCATTACTCCGCGTTGCAAACCAACTTTCCAGCCAACTGAGTACACCAATTGCAGCACTGACTTCTGTTTTGAGAAGTTGCAGCTGGAGGCCCATGCAACTGGTAAGAAAATAGAGGGAATATTGGTCCTGGGAGCGGAAGTGGGATGTAGGATGGATACCAGAGACGGGGTAGTGTCAGGTATTAGAACCGAGTGGGAAGGGGGATGTCGAATCAGGGTCCGGAGAGTGTAAGGTGTCTGGGAGAGGTGGAGTTGGAGTTCTGTGTGTGAAATTCGGTGATCAGTTTAATAGTTACCCAGGAGTCAGGTAGGTTTTTAATTGTCGAACTTCTACGAGATAACTGTTAAGTTAACTGCAGTGTAACCCTTTGAATTCTCAGATTTAAATGGATGACTTTGGAGGGTCCCATGTGCAGGGGTATTTCCATTTGAATCTTCAATTTCCAAGGTCCACTAGAGTCACAGAGTCATAGAGATATACAGCACAGAAATGGACCCTTCAGTCCAACCCACCTATGCCAACCAGATATCCTAAATAAATCTAGTCCTGTTTGCCAGCATTTGGCCCATATCCCTCTAAACTCTTCCTATTCAAATACCCATCCATATGCCTTTTAAATTTTGTAATTGTACCAGCCTCCACCACATCTTCTGGCAGCTCATTCCATACACGCACCACCTTCTGCGTGAAAATGTTGCCCCTTAGGTCCCTTTTAAATCTTTCCCCTCTCACTTTAAGTCTATACCGTCTAGTTTTGGACTCCCCTACCCTGGGGAAAAGACTTTGTCTATTCACCCTATTCATGCCCCTCATGATTTTATAAACCTCATAAGGTTGGCCCTCAGCCTCCAACGCTCCAGTGAAAATAACCCCAGTCTATTCAGCCTAACCATAAAGCTCAAAACCTCCAACACTGGCAACATCCCTGTAAATCTTTTCTGAATCCTTTCAAGTTTCACGACATCCTTCCTATAGCAGGGAGACCAGAAGTGAATGCAGTATTCCAACAGTGACCTAACCAACGTCCTGTACAGTTGCAACATGACCTCCCAGCTCCTATAATCAAGGCACTTACCAATATAGGCAAGCTACCAAAAGCTTTCTTCAGTATTCTATGTACCTGTAACTCCAATTTCAAGGAGCTATGAACCTGCATTTCAAGGTCTCTTTGTTGAGCAACACTCCCCAGGGCCTTACCATTAACTGTGTAAGTCCTGCCCTGATTTGCCTTTCCAAAATACAGCACCTCACATTTATCTGAATTAAACTCCATCTGCCACTCCTCGGCCCACTGGCCCATTTGATCAAAATCCCGTTGTACTCTGAGGTAAGTTTCCTTGCTGTCATCTACATTACCAACTTTGGTGTCATCTGCAAACTGACTAACCGTACCTCCTACGTTCACTTCCAAATCATTTATATAAATGACAAAAAGCAGTGGACCCAGCACCAATCCTTGCAGCACACCACTGGTCACGGGCCTCCAGTCTGAAAAGCAACCCTCCACCACCACCCTCTGTCTCCTCTCTTCGAGCCAGTTCTGTATCCAAATAGCTAGGTCACCCTCTAACCAGTCTACAATGAGGAACCTTGTTGAACACCTGAATGAAGATACTACTTAAGGTATTCTGTGGAGTCTCAATAAGCAATCCAATCTATACTGTAGAAGGGGCTATCTGGGCATCAGATAATCTAATCCATTGCCTGTAACATTCAATTCTGTGTGTTTAACTACATCAGTGTGTGTTGATTGAGGAGTCTGTGAGGTCCAATTTTCACGTTGTCAGCAAAGAAGACTCTTTGGGGTCAATAGGAGTGAGCTTGTTGTCATAATTTCCAATGCCTTAGATAATGCAGCGTGGTCTGTTTGGTTTAATTTTTTTGAGACATTTTAAGTGGCTTTGATAAAACCGAGTAGCTTGCTACACCATTTCAGAGGGTAGTTAAGAGTTAACAATGCTGCTGTAGGTCTTAACTCAGATGTAGCTAAAACGGGTAATGTTAGATTCACCTCCGTAAAGCACATTAGTAAACCAGAGGAGTTTTAACTTTGAATTTCAGATTTTTAACTGAATTAAAATTCCACCTTCCGCCACGGTGCAATTTGAACTTAGGTTCCCAGGACATTACTGGGGTCTCTGCATTGCTAGTCCAGTGATAATACCACTAGACCATTGCCACCCCCTTTTATTTCATTTTAACCCCTTTCCATCCTTTCTGGAAGTCAGTTACTCAAGTTAAATACAGGGCTGCTGTCAGGGTGTGGCTTTCTAGTAACTCCACATCTGTGCCTGGACAATAAGTGCTGACAGGCCATTCAATGTTGGAGCCTCATAGGCCTGGAGGTGTATCTCGATCGACTGAGCGACTCAACATTGGGAAAGAGGGGGCAGCTGAAAGCAAACCCATTGCCCACGCCTCCAATCCATCCCTTCCGAGTGATGCCTCCCTACACTTTCCATCCTGCCCACATACTCAGCTTTGGCCTGGGGCCTGTCGGTGATCCTGGATTGCTTGCAGCTGTCACCACTCCCAGGTGATGGCTAATGGCAATGGAGAGCTGCTCAGCTCTAACTGTCCAGCAACTTTCAGCAGGAGGAACTTCTGTCACGAGGTAATGAATCTTGTGAAAGATCTGCAGGAGGGCACTTAATACCCCATGGAACTGACAGGAGTTCTCACCAACTCTCCAATCGGAGGGAAAGACCCTCCCATCAGGTCGTCTAAATCCAGCTCACAGAGGTTACTGCAAGCAAGCCTAACCCTGTTTGCACCAAATTCCAGCAAGAGGTATTGAATCGCAATCAGCCCTGAAAGTGCCGATCGTTCTTGTTTTAGCTTCTAGCTCTGGATTTCTGAAGTGAAATGCACAGCCAACTTCCATTCCACCCAACAGCAGCTAACTCAGTATTGATCAAGGTCAGTGAGGCTCAGTTCCATATTTCCCCAAAATCGGAGAAAGAGACTCCAAACTGGAGATCACTTAAATTAAGTTATACTGAATATTATTCAGGATTACCAACAATTGATTTACAATCACAGGACTTGTAAACAAAAAGACAGAACTTGTCTACAACTAACTAGCAGATTTGGATGAGCTTCCATGCCAACTTCAAAGCTTTTCAAATGACGTGAGAAAATAAGAAATAGAAGCACCAATAGAAACCTGGATCCTGCTCCAATATTCAAGATGATGTCTGATCTCCTATCTTAATTCTAATTTCCCACCGTATTCCCATGTCACTTTATGTCTTTAGCATTCACAAAAATTACTATTAATACCTGTTATTGCTGCTGTGAAGACCTGTCGGTAATGGATAGGACTGAGGAAGGTAGCTGGGATGATTATCTGTCTCTTAAGAACCTTTGTTCCTTGTGAAACATCAGCTCTGGGAAAGCACAGCTCTGACAGTGAGGTATCCTGCAACAAAGAATACAGAACTTAACAGTCAGATCCAAATCAGTGTCTGTTTTATTGCTGACATGCTTAAGTGTCCTTCTTATCATCTCATCTTATAACTTTACGTAAAACTTTATCACTGCATATTTAAGACAGTAAATACAAAAAAAAATTACATTGTATTCAAGAAGTTAAGATACAGAGTTAATTTGAAACTAGTCACTTGCCTCTGACAATTTCCTATTATGATTTGTGTTGCTCAGTACATTGTGTTGGTAATGAGTAGAACTGACGATTGGCAAAGAGCATGTTTCATTTACTCTTAAAATATTTTCATGCTGTTTGATCAGTCTGTCTTTGATCAGCTCTACGGAAAAGGAATCATTTACATTTTCCTGAATTGCAGGTGTTCTCTCTTCCTCTTCCTCAAATGCTGCCCTGTCAGACATTCCTTCTGCACCTGAGGTACAATTTTGTGTACTACAGCTGCTACTGTTTGGAGATATTGTGATTTCATATTTTTGCCATTTGCTAGCCCTAGTCTGTAAAGTTCCTTGAAGGTTGATTGGGTTTGCAAGTTCTTGGATGCAAACATCAGCATTATCAACAGAAGTTTCACAGTTCCTGCTCAGAGACTCAGGCCTGACAGTACTTTCTGAATAGTCATGTAAATCTTGTCGTCTGTTCTTTAAGTAAATAGTTGAGCACTGGATATGCTGATCTGGTTCAATTACACCTGAAAGACCTTCAAAGGAACTTGTGGCAAGACACTGGTTGATGCATTTCTCTGTTTTTGGCATGGTAACAAGTGGAGTTCTTAGTCTGAAATTTGATTGGATTCTTGATACTCCATCATTCACAAAATTGTTTGGCCTTCCACTTACTGTGAAAAACAAGAATATGAAGATATGGTTCTGTGCAGGAAATAATTACATCAACACAGGTTGTGAACATCACTCACCAAGTACAAGAGGGTATCATCATCTGAATATTTACCTCAACCATGTCTTTAAACCTTTCTCCTCTACCACTTTGACTCTCATCTCTAACAGTAAGTACAAGGCACTCATGGGCAATGTTTGACACTAGGATAGACATTACACACTCAACTTTTTGGCTTTCCTCACCCCTGTTCTGGCCAAGCCAGGCGCTTCCTTAGGATCTCCTCAGTCTGGCTATAAATGCCCATCTCACTCTAAATTATTTCCCACAATGCTGTCTGAATTCACTTTAATACTAAGACGCACCCCTCCTCCCTGGAAATACTCAAAGTCTGGCAATACACAGACTAAACTATAACCACAGAGATGCAAACAGAACATACTTCATGGCTGCTCTGGAAGCTACACCAAAAAGTAAATGGACTCAAGGATGAAATACAACAAGCCATCTGACCAACTATAATCCCGACACTGAACCAGAGGAATGAATGAAGGATTCAAGAAAGACAGGAACATCATAATCCTACCAGCAGACAAAGGACGCTTGACCGTCATTACAAACAAACCAGAGTACTTTGAGAAAGCACAGGCACTGCATGCAGATACACACACTTACCAACAGGTGGAGATAGACCCAACACCACAGCGAGCAAATAGGATCACCCAAACGCTGAAACGCTGAAAAGTGCAGGCCAAATAACCAAGACAGACTACACGAAAACGAAATCAGAAGGTTCGAACACCCCCCGCTTCTACGGATTACCCAAAGTACACAAACCAGACAGCACCCTCAGACCCATTGTCTCCCTACCAGGCACACCTACATACGTACTGGCCAAAGACCTACAACAGAGACTGAAACACCTGGTCGGCGGATCACCTCAGTCCATCCACTCAACCCAGTAATTCCTTAACAACCTCATGAACATTAAAATTAACAACGACGAGATTATGGTATCTTTGACATCACAGCACTATTCACATCCATTGACATATCACTAGCCAAAGAAACACTTGCCAAATTACTGGATGCGGCAGGAATGTCTACTCCAAACAACTCCATCAACATGGACAACATACTCAGACTAGTGGACCTATGCCTCACCGCACACATCATCTTTAACGGACAAATATACAAACAAATCAATGGCACACCTATGGGGTCACCCATCTCAGGACTTATTGCAGAGATAGTCACACAAAGACTGGAACACACTGCCCTCCCCCTCATTCAGCCAAAGTGTGGATCTGATATGTGGACGACACATTTGTCATCATTCAACGCACCAAGTGAGGAGACACACCATTTCATCAGCAACATTTTCAGCAGGATCAAATTTACTCGAGAAGAGGATGCCAACAATCAACTTCCGTTTCTGGACATCAGGATAGAATGACTGACCAATGGAGAGTTCCAAACCACAGTACATAGGAAGGCAACTCACACTGATGAAATCCTCAATTTCCACAGCAATCAACCCAATGTCCACAAACAAAACTGGGTTAGGACATTATTCAAATGGGCCACAACTCACTGCAATACGCCAGAACTGTGCTGGAAGGAGGAAGAGCACCTATTCAAGGTCTTTGCTAACAACAGATAACCCAACAAATTCATCCACAGGTGCCTACTAGATAGACAATGCCAAGAGGACACAGTACGCCCCAATACGTTGGCCACACTACCCTATATCAAGAATATATCAGAACTGACAACGAGACTCCTACAACCACTAGGTATCATGGTAGCACCACAGCCTCTCTGTGACAAATATTTACAAGGACCAAAGACCCCATACGCATGACATGCAAGACCAAGGTAGTTTACAAAATACCTTGCAATAACTGCAACAAACATTACATCGGCTAGACCGGAAGGAAACTAGCCATCAGGATAAACGAAGACCAGCTAGCAGCAAAACAACACGACGAACTTTTCCTCATCTCAGTGCACTCAGACAACAAAGGCCATCAATTTAACTGGGACAACATGACCATCCTAGCTCAAGCCAACCACAGACACACACAACAATTCCTAGAGACCTGGTTTTCAACCCATAATGCATCAACAAACATGTGGAATTAGACCCCATATACAAACGCATGCAGAACAGACCGGAAATGACACAACCCAATTTAACAGACTGGATCATGTAAATACCAAGTGGAGTAGAACAATATCGCTTCATCGGAGGCCGCACTGATGTTGTTATCTAGCATGGTGACGAAACGTCTGTATGATAGCCAGTCAGCTCGGCGAGCAAGCCAACAATCTCATCCACAACCGGGGTACAAATCTTTGCAAGAACCTTAAAGGTCTGGCAATATCTGCGGAGGCAGAACATTTCAAACAGAGACTGAAGAAGAGTCATTTCAGACCCGAAACATTAATCCTGCTTTCCTCTCCTTAGGTGTTGCCAGACTTGCTGGGTTACAATCACAAAGATTTTACATCTCAGAAAGAGGTTCTTCAGCTCATCGTGTACTTGTCAGTCACCATGCATCTGTCTATTCTAATCCCATGTTCCAGCACTTAGCCTGTAGCCTTGAACATTATGATGTTTCAAGTGCTTATTTAAATACTTCTTAAATATCTTGAGGTTGGTTCCTGCCTCCATCACTCTTTTAGGTAATGAGTTCCAGACACCCACCACCACCCTGTGTGAAAATATTTCTTCCTAAAATCACTGGAACGTAGGAACAGGAGTAGGCCATTCAGCCCCTTCTGTCTGTTCCACCATTCAATGAGATCATGACTAATTTGCAGCCTAACTCCATATACCTGTCTTTGACCCATATCCCTTAATATCTTTGCTTAAAAAAATCTACCTCGGATTTAAAATTAACAACTGATCTAGCATCCATTGCTGTTTGTGGAAGAAAGTTCCAAACATCGACCACTCTTTGTGTGTAGAAGTGCTTCCTAACAACTCTCCTGAATAGTCTGGTCCTAAATCTCAGACGATACCCCTTAGTTTATCTTTATCTACCCTGTCTTTTCATGCTAATATTTTGAAGACTTCGATCAGATCACCCCTTAACCTTCTAAATTCAAGAGAAAACAGGTCTAATTTGTAAAATCTCTCCTCATAATCTCAACTCCTAAAATCAAGGTATCATTCTTATTGTACTCCCTCCCAGCCTAATATATCCTTCCTAACGTGTGGTGCCCATATCTTCTCACAGGAATCTAAGTGGAGTCTAAGTGCAGCATAACTTCTGCATCCTTGTATTCTAGTCCTCTAGATATAAAGGCCAGCATTCCATTAGCTTTCTTGATTATTTTCTGTATCTGTTTGTGGCACTTAAAGATCTATGCACCTGGATCCAAGTCTCTTCTGGATATGCACTGTATTTAACTTCATACCAGCTAGAAAGTATACTAGTCTATCCTTTCTCGGTCCAAAATAAATAACTTGCTAATGCTGAAATCTATCTGCCACGGTTTTCCCTATTCACTTAGTCTTAGCAATATCACTTTGTAATTTTATGCTATCATCTACAATGCTGCCTAACTTTGTGTCATCAGCAAATTTGGATCTGTAACTTTCCATGCTATTATCTAAGTCGTTAATAAATAATGTGAATAATTGAGGCCCCAACACAGATTCTTGTGGGAAACCATTGGTCACACTTTGCCAATTTACTACGCTACCCATTATCCCTACTTTCTATCACCTGCCTCTCTATCAATTTCCCAGAAATCACTTCCAAACCTCTTGCTCCTTACCTTAAAAGTGTGCCATTCTCCAGAATTTTTTATTTCACCTGATATTTGTTTGATCACCAATCATAGCCCCACGCCTTGCTGCAAACAAAGGCCTTAGATGAACACAACAGGGTTTACTGAGTGACTTCTCTGAATAGTGACTTCCTATTGCTGTTCGTTAAACAGTTAAGGGCAGATTCGCTGCCAGCAGCCTTCTCCCTCTGGACTTGGTCAGAGGGAAGTAGGAAGGCAGTGGGACCTCTAACTCGCACCCACCTACTCATCAAATCACACTGCATTCAATCCCAATGAATGAGTTAAGTGACAATTATAGTATTTAATTGTATAATGCAATTAATACATTTTGGAAGCAATTGGGTATTAGTACAGATGACACGTTTTTGTTTGCTGATGGCTATAATATGCCATAATATTCCTGTATTTGATTATAGATTAGACATATTTTTAAGAATTATTCCACTTCAGCCTTTTATTCTTCATTTACTTCCTTTTGACAACAAAAACTCACCACTGGTACTTGGTTGGTGGGTTGGCACTGAAAACTCAAGTTCACTCAGGTTACTATGCAGATTACCTCTGGGACATCTGAGTGCATCAGGCACAACTGAATCACCTGAAGGCACCTGTTGCATTGGAGAGTTTACCTTGTCAGAAACAAAATCCAAAAGGTTTGAACTCAATTGAATACCCTTTTTGTAATCTATTTTCGATTATAGACACTAATTAACATTGAATCGAATTTACTTTAGAAAAGTGTTTTCTAACAGCAAACAGCAATAGAATGTGGTGAAAAATGTTTTTGAATTCAGTTTCAGATATATGTGCACAGATTTAGTTAATTGAAGTTATGTAATCTAAAACACAAATATTGGTTATTTTTACTTAAGTAAAGATTATATAACAAGTAATTTATTCAGTCAAAATAAATGGTACAGGACATTCAGATATAGTTCATATTTATCAGAAAATATTTATTCAGCCGGACAGCTGGGTCTCAGTTTCAGAAATAATCCTTCAAAAATGACCCATCAACATCTTCCCTGTGTAATTTAACTACTTATCCACTATAAGGTAATACTAAACAACAGGTATAATACACTTCCTCTAATGTAATATTGGGATTCCCTTCCTTTTGTTGAACTGGGAGTTTCAGGCTCAATACGATTAATAGCTCCAGTCTCTAATATGTTTGCAATGATTTTGTTTATCTCAAATTAATTTAACATTGTGGAAGTTCAATGGTATCCACATGGTGAACCACATGAACTCAGCTGCCCAGCAATGTTTGACACTAAAATGTGCTTCAACGGCACCAGGGAGAGAAAAAATATTCATCAAAACACTGAATTCAAGGAGAGGAAGAATTTAACAAAGATGTAGGTATTTTCATCCATTTAGATATTTAATAAGAGTGGAATATTAGGTAAAGGAAAAGAAACCTTGATCATAATCACCTCAAACAACCATGTTCTCCTCAGCAAAACTGAAATTTGTTCTCTTACCGTGGAAACTTGATGCAACAATTGCTGAATCTGACGTCTTATCAAAACTGCGCAGTGCACTAATTTATGCAAATATGTATGTTTTTCTGAACGACGCTGTATTTCAAAAATTCATTCATTTTAATGTTAACTTTACCTGGAACAATCCAGCCAGCGCTGAATTCCTTGTTAAAGGTGGTGATACAAAACTGGAATCTGCAATGAGGCTCCCTGGAACTTGATGAAAAGGGTCAAAGTGTTCTTCAAATTCTAACTCTTCCTGAGAGACCCTGACTACTGTGTCACTGGATGCAGAGCCCTTCACCTGGTACCCTCTAAACTCAGCTGCCTGCAGAGATGTGTCAAACCCTTTTCAGAAGGTTATGAAATACAACCATAATTATCTGATAGTAAGAATACTTTCTCTAAATATGTTAAAGTTTATCAAACCGCAAAATAAAACTGCAACTATTCCAAATTTTAAAAACACATGAAAATCGTAAGAAATTTTCTTGATACCAAGTTAGTGACTATGTAATTGTCTGGCATGAAAATCAGTGGGACTGAAACTTGATTCAAAGACTTTACTTAGTTGTTGATCAGACTTGGGGCACCTGATCATTTTATAACTGATTTCAGTGTCCCTGAACCAAAAAAGAAGAAAGAGAGAAAAACGACAATCAGCCAAGATATACAGATTCCCTTGTTGTAATGTGTGAATTTGAACATTAAATGAGAACAAATTGAATTCCCTAGCTTGGAATAACCTGCTAGTCACCTATCAACGTCATGTTGACTAACTGGGTTCCTAGTTCTCTGGTTGCTCAATGTTAAACAAATTTTATCCTTGTTTTCAAATTTCTCCACTCTGCTCTTATAATTATTTACTTCTTTTTTGTTTCAGTGGGCACATTTCTGTTGTCTCCTTCAGTACCCCAAGATCTATGTCTTCCTCCAATTCTGGTTTATCATGCATGTGTGATTTTAATCACTTCACAGTTTATAACAGTGCCAAGATGTGAAATTACCTTTCTAAAATCTCCTGCCTCTCCAGCTCTCCTCCTTGAAGACGCCACTTAAATTCTACCTATTTAACCAAACTTATGGCTGTCTACCTTAATGTTTCCTTCGTTCCTCAGTGCCAAATTTTTTTTGATTGCAGTGCTGCAAAGTACTTTTGGGTATTTCACTAAAGTCACTACATAAATACAAACTGTTGCTAACATTAATCCTTGTCCATTACAATTTTTTTTATGTGAAAGATCCGTTGAAGTAACAGAAATCTCAACACTAAAACAATCATACCAAAAATATTAATCATAATAATCCACCAATATAAAATCAATTTGGGAGAAATGTGTATGTGCCCAATCCAATATAAACCCTTTCACATTTACATCAAAAGTTAGGAGAGGAGGAAAGGCAGAATATGGACCAGTATCAAAAGATGGTCACAGGTTGAAGATACCAAGGCTTTTGATATGTCAGGAATTATAACTAACTACAAGTAGACCACCTCTGAAGAGGAGGAATAGATGAACTAGGTGGAAAGTAAGACATTTTTCTATCCTGACCTATTGCATAATACAGGATTTTAATTTAAGGACTATTCTTTGTACTTGATATAAATTGAAGTCTTATCTTAGTCAATCTCACATGCAGCTGTGCTGGCCACACTTGCAAGGTGTCTGACTGTCTTCCATTCAGAAGTGCAACCATTTGGCAATATTTAACTAAATAGTACCACAACTAGCACCACAATTTATCTGGCACCTTTAGTTTAGTAAAATGTCTCAAAGTACTTCAGAGGAATGGTATCAGACAAAATTTGACCTACAGGTGTAACAGTACCACCACCCAATGATCTAAACTGGATTATTTCAGTCCTTTGCCTATACCCTCACATGCACCTCTCCAATCATGCTGAAAATGGATTTAGTGTGAAAAGAATCAATGCAATTATCTTGTTTCTTTATTTCTTAGATGACAACTGAACATACAGATTCATGGACGTAATTGGATTCACATAATCCAATCAGCACAATTTGTTTTCGGTTGTTAATGTAAAATACCAGGTTTTGCTTTTATTAATCAGTGTATTTTATCTTGGTAGACTTAAACAAAATAACTTTTAACTACATTCTTATGGCTGACACAGCCTGCGCTGGAAAATTTCCATTTAAAGCCTGACTGACAATGGACTCAATTCTAACATACTCAAAACCATTCAACCAAACAGAGTTAAAATCAGGCCCAATTTGTTTCATGTTCTCTATTTTTAACTTTGCATGTGCACACTCAGAAGACAGCATCTAAGCTTTAGCCTCAGTCGAGTAACATCTGGTAAATTGGGTTTAAAGGATTTATCAATGATTGGACATTATTTTCCCGATTAAAATAACTAATAATAGGAATAAATATTTTCTTCAAGGATTAGGTGTTTTTGATGTAATAAATAAATAGGAAATATTACTATTACCTGTAGTGCTCTGAGTGGTCTGTCAGATGCTGTCATTTTTTTAAGGCTGTTATTAGTCACCTGTTCTTTGAACGTTTCAACACATCCTGTAGCCTAAGTTTAAGGAAATAAAAAATATTTTATGCAACCAATTTCTTTCATAGCTTGGCTGGCATAGTGTTGTCCAATACATTAGCCACTTGCCACACATTGTTAATTTCATTTCTGATTAGCAAGTTCCAAACAAGAAACAGACACTTTATTATATGACCTCAAAACTGATGTCCATACAGAGCATTTATATGAACTTTTAAGCTTTTTGTGTGTTTACTATTAAAATAGCCAGACTAAAAGACAATTGTACACTTTTTTCCAAGAGTTGTTGGTGATTTCTGACCCAGTTATTAAAAGACGACTTGTGAATTGCTGAGCAAATGCAGATTTGTAAACTATATTTACCTGTATTCCCTGAGAACGTGTAAAGTTTTCTGATTAATGTATGTGGCTGAAATGGTGTGAATGATTGCCACAGTCACAACTGAAGATAATTAGAGTCATAGAGATGTACAGCATGGAAACAGATCCTTCGGTCCAACTCGTCCATGCCAAACAAATTATCCTAAATTAATCTAGTCCCATTTATCAGCATTTGGCCCATATCCCTCTAAACCCTTCCTATTCACATACCCATCCAGATGCCTTTTAAATGTTGTAACAAGCCTCCACCACTTCCTCTGGCAGCTCATTCCACACACGCACCACCCTCTGCATGAAAAAGTTGCCCCTTAGGTCCGTTTTAAATCTTTCCCCTCTCACCTTAATCCTATGTCCTGTAGTTCTGGACTCCCAGACCCCCACGAAAAGACCTTGACTACTTATTCTATCCATACCCCTCATGATTTTATAAACCTCTATAAGCCCCAGGGAAAATAGCCCCAGTCTATTCAGCCTCTCCCTATAGCTCAAACTCTCCAACCCCGGCAATGTCCTTGTGAATCTTTTCTGAACCCTTTCAAAGTTAAGGTTCTAAATTGGCGGAGTACGATACATTAAAACAGGAATGAAAAAATTGTACACAAATGAACAATTTTACTGAGATATTATTTGAATGGATTTTTGGGAATTTAGGGAAAAGATGCACTGGAACAGTAGGGTTGCTCTTTTAAAGTTAGGGGCTGTGATACATTGCTTTAATTTAAATCAGTCCCACAATGTACACTATCTGTGTGTGGTCAACTAGTGCAAAAAGTGTGCAAAAGCTAATGGTTCATTCCTGATAACACAGTGTGGAGCTGGAGGAACACAGCAGGCCAGGCAGCATCAGAGGAGCAAGAAAGCTGACGTTTCGGGTTGGCACCCTTCTTCAGAGCCTTTCTGACATCAGCTTTCCTGCTCCTCTGATGCTGCCTGGCCTCCTGTGTTCCTCCAACTCCACACTGTGTTATCTCTGACTCCAGTATCGGCAGTTCTTACTATGTCTGGTTCATTCTGGATATCATTTGTCACTTCTCAGCTTAATCAATAAAAGTCTTTTGGCCCAAACTGCCAAACAAAAGCAAAAATACATGTTAAAAGATCAAAAAAAAATACATTAAAGAGAATTTGACAACTTCCTGGTAAATGTGTGTCCTTCAAAAAAAAATTTCTTCACTGAACTATTGATATAAACTATTAAACGTAAAACTGTTAAACTGTTAACATTCAGATAACAACGTGTAGAGCTGGATGAACACAGCAGGCCAAGCAGCATCAGAGGAGCAGGAAAGCTGACTTTTCGGGCCTAGACCC